TTTAGGGTTTAGGGTTTAGGTGTAATATAGGGGCCTCAATTACTGATGCTATGTTGGGCTTCCTTATATTTTAGTTATAGTAGAATACACCCCAAAACCCTCTTCTAATTATTTAGGCCCCTACATTCGTGTTTTATGCTGTAGGGTTGAAGGTTTATAGGGGTTTAGGGTTGCGGGGTTAGGGTGCTGTGGGCGTGGCACTTAAGCCGACAGCTCTGGGTTTTGGGCAGAGGTTTAAAGTCAATGTTTAGGATTTCAGGGCTTCCTGTCTTTTGGGCCCAAGGGTCTTCGATTTGGGAGTTTCCGAAAATAAGGTACCTTATTTGGGGGTCCTTTTAATAAGGACCAAGCAACCAAGGTGCAGCGAGTTCACCGAGCTGGTTTTTGCTGGCTTCAGCTTAGACGGCCATTGGGTTCGCCACGATGTCCGGCTTGATGATACAATCGGAAGTGCTGGAGCGGGTCCGTGGGATACAAAGGCCACAGGGTGGAAGACGCTCGGAGCTCCGTACAAGATTCCAGGTGGCACTCTTGGATGATTTTTTCACTCCGGGCCTTGTGGAGATACCACCCTAAACCCCTATATAGACCCTAATACCTTTAAGCCCTGAACCCTTGAGCCCCACTTAAAGGATCATGGGGCTTAGTAAGTACGGTTATAAGTCCCTTCATTGGGGTTAAGTATAGTTGCCTTCATTATAACCCTACTTACTAAGTCCCATGATCCTTTGAGTAGACCCTAACATGGCAACCCAGGATCTGGAATGACGGTGAGTCATTAGCGGTCACTTGCAAGGGTGCTGACACGATGACGGGATGTCTCTTCTGGTGCATCCGGGCTTGAGACTGCCATACTTTGATGCTTGTTTTGGGGACCTGTTCCTTAAAGGAGCCATTGTGAAATAACAGTCTATATTTTGTTCTCCCCGGTTACTTCAGTCCAGGCATGGCTCTCAGCAACTCTTCTGAGTGTCTCCGACCTTGGCTCGTGCAGACGAACGCCAATCCTGACCAGGACATGCATGTGCAAGCGCCGGAGAGCCTATAACCTTGCTTGTCCTTGATGCGTCATCTGTCCAGATCCCAAAACCTGACTGCAAGGTGTGCAAAGTTGGCTAGCGTTCTCTTCTTGCCAGGACGTGCGTGCAGAGAAGTTGCTGATCTATGGGCGCAAGTCTTCTGACTCGACCGATTTGGAGACATGCACCGACGGTGGAGCGCAACTTGTCACCATGCAATGTGGCGACACTTAGATAGCCAATGGGAGAACTTTAAGCTTTTTGGCTTTGTATATCAAGTCTATCCTAAAAACTCTAAACCCAAAACCCTAAACTTATTGAAGAAGAGAGGACAAGCTCATCACCGGAAACGAAGAGTGCGACCCTCCGGGGCGCGGCTGCTGCGATCCCAAGTGCAAGCTTATTCCCGGATTTCAGTGGCAACTTGGCTCTGAATCATTGTACTTATGTATTTATGCTGCTCTGAATCATTATACTTATTTGTGCGGCTGCTGCGGAGGTTCAGGGTTGTGTAGGATTTAGGATTCAACCCAAAGGCTCCATGTACCTTTATAGTAGATACTTTGGCCTCAAAGTAACTATATAGGGACCCCTTTAAGGCCTAAGTATCTACTATAAGGGTACATGGAGCCTTTGGGCAAGGGATCCGCTGCAGAATGAAAGCGTCGCTTTTGCATTGCAGGCAAGACACGGATGGCTGCAAGGCCATTTGTGGCGACGGTGTGGCTTTGGTGCTCAGCAACATTTGGGTAGTTCCCTAAATTAGGGTCCCTTTTTGGTCCCCAATGTGGTACGGCACCCTTATACAAAGGACCCAAAAAGGGACCCTAATTTAGACAACTACCCATTTGGTTTTGCCTCCCCATACATTAGAGGGTAGACTCAAAGGTCTGCCAGACACCGAAGATAATCGGAACCACACGTCTTAAGCTTAGCCGCGTAGCTAATGTCGAAAGTCACATGGGCAGTTCTCTAAATTAGGGTCCCGTTTAAGGGTCCTTTTTAATAAGGGTGCCGTACTATATCGGGGACCTAAAAAGGGACCCTAATTTAGAGAACTACCCACATGGAAGCTTGGCAAGTTCTTACTTCGAACCATGAGTCTCTGAACTCATTTCAAGAGCTCAGGTGGTCCTGGGGAAGGAGGAGTGCGATCCTCCTGGCGACGGGTGCAACGAGGAATGCCGCTTGAAGGAAGGATGGAAGTGGTTGCAGAACAAGGCCGTGCCGATTTGCGGAGACAGCCTGCTCGTCGGGAAGGTTCCTTGGCTCAGAGCCTAAAGGCGATAAAGAGTAGGGGGGTGCGGGGTCGAACATGTTTTGTGTATGCCAGCTCACGAATTGTAGTTTGTGGGCAATTAGAGCACTTGACTTAAGTATATAGGGAAGCTGTATCGGTCCACATCTACGAACGCAGCATATTCAGCTTCCTGTGGATCTAGAGATGTGCGGTGAGTAGCCCTTGCTCTGTCACCAACCCGAAGAGTGCCTCTTCAGCGAAGAAGAACGAACCCAAAGGCTCCATGTACCCTTATAGTAGATACTTAGGCCTTACAGGGGTCCCTATATAGGTACTTTAAGGCCAAAGTATCTACTATAAGGGTACATGGAGCCTTTGGGGAACATGCAATGCACCTGCTGTCACGCATAAAGCCACCTCTTGATATCAGGGTGAGGTGCCCTGATCCTTCACGCTTCCTTGCTATCCTCCGCAAGCTCGTTCCCGAAACCTCGCGCACCCGAAACCCTAAACCCTAGACCCTAGACCCTAAACCCTAAACTCTAAACCCTGAACCCTAAACCCTAGACCCTAAACCCTAAACCCTAAACACCTTAAAGGCTAAAAGCCCTCGGTCAATCCTAAGAGCCTCAACCAGGAAAGCCCCAGAGCCTGAATCGCACCCAGGAGCAGTGCGATCCTCCGGGATCCGACTGCTGCAATCCTATTTGCGATCCTTAGATAGCCAATGGGAGAGCTTTAAACTTTTTGGCTTTATATATTAGGTCTATCCTAAGAA